ATGGCTGCAGGTGTAATTAAATTTAAGGAAAATAAGCACTGATTTGCTAACCCTGACTCAGAGAACCGCAGGCCGAGTCCCGGGGCCAGATCTAGCTGGGACTGTGCAGGGAGGCTCCAAAGGCAGCATCGGGCTGTTCCGGGCCGTCCTTCCAGGCTCCTTCTCTGGGGCGTGTCCATGGTAGGAGACCTAGGTTCAAGGCCTGCTTGCTACTCCTCCCCATAGATGTGCTGAGGGCTCCCTCAGTGGCCCAGTACACCACCCTGAGGCGATGCTGGTGGGCAAGGTGCTGGTGTGTTTGACCCTGTGACCCCAACACTCACATTCTCTGAGACCAATGGGGTAGTGAATAGTGAACATTAGGCATAAAGCAGGTGGACGTCAAGAAATAAAGGTGTTTTGTCCTTTTTTTTGTAACATACTGATTCTGCCTTTATTTAAGGTTCTGATTATCAAGTGTCTTGTCCTCTTTTAAAGGCGCTCTAGGCAGTAAGCTGAGGGAGTTCTTTGGAGAGTGCTGTCCTGGAAGCACCGGTCCAAGGTGTCTCCTGTCAGAGGCCCCCTGGGCTGATATCTTCTTCCTGGCCCAGCCGTGCCTAGTGGCCACCTCAGGCCCCTTCCCAGAGCTGTCAGCACATCCTCCAGCCTCCAGGTTCCTCCAGCTTTCTCCACTGTCATTCACACTGTCCTGTCAATATCTAGGTTTTCGTGATCTTTTCTCTGTGCCATAACTCCTGCTATTAGACATTCTGGAATACTTATACCCTCCACGTTAGCTCACACTCAATAAGATCTGTGATGACGTACCCAGCACCGTGCCTGCCAGAGAGTAGGAATTCGATGCCTATTAGTAGAATCTGGAATGAAGTTTTTGTTGAGGAAAGTCACACTGCCCTCTGTTTGGGGACACAATGGAGAATCTCATGCACCCTGTTCATTCACTTAAACATTGATTGGAAAACAAAACAAAATAAAACAAAAACAAAAAACATTGGTGCCAGGCCCAATACTGGGTGCTGGGACACAGAGCTGCTGGGCCTGGCCAAGAACGATCAGGATTCCCTTTGATGAGGCTGTCATAGAGGGTCCATATGCCTTTTCCCAGGAGTGGAACACAGAGTGGGCCCCCCGCCCCCCACTGCTGCCTGCAAGCGTCCAGGAAGGCTTTGCAAAGTGTATGTGTGGGGGGTGGGGGTGGGTGCTTCAACTTGAGGTCTTGGGGGGCAGGAGCAAAGGAGGCTGTTCCAGGGCAGGTTTGTGATTGGCAAGGCAGGTGCATAGAGGTTGCTGGGGCACAGCCAAGGACCAGGGCAAAGGCTGCCCAGCGTGCCCTGCTAAAGCTGGAACCCCAAAGATCTGTCAGGAGGACCCTAGCATATAGGAGATAAATTGCTGAGAAAATCCAGGCAGGCAACACCTGTGGGAAGACTCAGTGACTTCCAGGGGTGGTAGTTTGGGCAGGATGATCAGGTGCAGGAGTATCAGTGGAGGTGGAGCTTGGGGAAGGGGCAGAAGCCCAGCGCACCCTCTGTGGACTTCTAGGGGACGTCCTGGGAGTTGTCAGACACATGAAGTCCCAGGACTTTGGTAGCTGGGCGGGGTTCACCAATTCCTGGGGGAGCTGCCTCCGTGACAGTCACCCGGGTGGGAGGTCACTGCCTGCTCCTTGCTCTCTGCTGTCTGCATCCTTCTCCTTCCTTCTCTTTGCAGCATTAAGGAGGGCATAGATCGAACCGTCCTGGGGATCCTGGTATCTTACCAGATCAAGGTGAAGCTCACGGTGTCAGGGTAAGTGTCCGAGAGCCAGTGCTCAGTCTGCTCTTGGTCATTCCCTTCCTGAGTGACTGGAAGGCAGAAAACAAAGAAAAGCCCACAGCTTCAGCCGATGACCAAGAAGAGTTTGGGAGAGACTTTATTTGTCCACTTTCACAACTTTGTCTGATACAATGTCATGTGGGAGAAGGTAGAAAAGCAGACTGTGAAACACGCGCACTGCTGGTGCCACTTTGCAAACACGGGTGTGCATGTGCCCAGGTGGTAGAAGTAGATAGGCAGGAATGAACGTTAGTTAGTCGAGTGTTACATTGTGCTTCAGAAAACTAGTCACGGCTGTAAAATGAACTCTCAGTAAATCTTCAGTTATTTGCTTCTTAGGAGGCATCCATCCATAAAGGGGGGACCTTCCCTTCCTTTCCCTTCCCAAACATGTAATCACAGGATTTGGGGTCTCCTTTTCCTATAAGAGTGCCAGTATCTCGAAGCTCCAAGGAAACAGGTTTCCATTTTCCTGGGAAGCCAATTTTGTCCATTTCTTTAATCTCATTAAAAGGGAAAAACTTCAATCCCAGCGCTCTGGGAAGCTGAAGTAGAAGGATCACTTGAGGCTAAGAGTTCAAGACAAGACTGGGTAACAAAACAAGGCCCTGTCTCTAAGAAAACAAAATTCACCAGGCGTGGCGGCACGTATCTGGAGTCAGTCCCAGCTCTGATGCAGGCTGAAGCAGGGTGATTGCCT